CTGATTAGCTTTAATTTAAGATATATATAAAAGTGTCAGAGTTTCCGGAACACTTTCAAAAGTTAAGTTTAAAATGTTAATTTTTCGTAAAAAAGTTGTCATTTTAAATCCTCCCCTGTGGGCAGTTTAAGTGTCAGATTTACAAAAAATATACCAAATGAAAGTTAAAGACATTATATATCTATAAAAAAAAAAATTATATTAATTTGATCATTTTTAAAAAAGTTATGGCAGTTTTAAGTAAAAAAAATTGAAAAAATTTCGAAAATTAGTGATTTTTAAATTTGTAAATTTTTTGGAGATTTCTCCCATTTATAGGGAAAGAGGGAAATTTATTCAATTTTTGAGGATTATGTCTTCGACTAGATACGATTTGTGATTTTTTGACGAACCGTTGAAAGAAACAGGTTCGGTTATAGCTGATAAATAGTGGTAACAGACACAAAAAAAAAACACATCATAGTAAAAGAAATACCTTCTCAGCTTCGTATCGAAGTTAAAAAACAATTTTAAATATTATTATTTAATAAGAAATTTAGTGGTTGACGATAAATCAATTACTATAAATTCTCTTAGTTTGACAATGTAGTTATAAGTTGCTAGTTATTAGTACTAGTATTTTTATGTCAAAAACTAAGTGCATATAATTCTTCTCTTCTTTCTGGTATCACAACTCTTCAAAAGCCGCCCTCAACACTTTATTTCACTCTTCTCAATTTTGTACTTTTTCTTCCCAGTTAGGTATCCCTAGTTTTTAAGTCTTGCTTTAATCCATCTATCCATCGCTTTTTTGGACGTCCTCTGGGTCTCTTATCTGTGGATTTCTACATTATCATTCAAATTCAGCCCTATGACTTTTGCTTCACTGATGAGAGCTGCATTATATTCTTCCCAACTATATTCAAATCATTTGAAAAACCTAAAATACTAATCTTGTTTGTGCCGATGTCACGATTATCCCTTTGTATACTCTGTACAACTTATCTAGTGCAGTATTAAACTTATATTTCACAGTAATGGTGAAAGAGCGTCACCTTGCTTTAAGCCTGTTACAACTTGGAATTCTACGGATAGTACATTGTCGACACTCACTTGATATTTTGTATCATTCATGCATGCTTTTGTCAGGGTAATAATCTTACTTTTGATTCCGAATTCGTAAATTATATTATAAAGGCTTTCCCGATGAATAATGTCATAGGCCTTTTTGAAGTCGACAAATACCTGCCACACATTTTGTTTGTATTCAAACTTTTTTTCTATAATCTGCCAAATCACCGATTATTGATCTATAGTAGATTTCTCTTTTTGGAATCCACGTTGGTACTCCTTTATACAATCCTCTGAAAAGGGTTTTAGTCTTCCTAGTAATATCTTTGAGAACACCTTATATAACGTGTTCAGCATATATTAATTAGGTATATCTCTTAGGACTTAGTTCTTAATCGTATTGTACAAATTCGTTCGGATATTGGGTTAAATTCATGTACACAAGATTCATAGACTTTATAGACTGCAAAACCCGTCCCAAAATGATGTCTATTATCCGTTCCTTTATAGTAAATAATAAAGTCGTTCATCTTTATTTACCCTTCATCCGTCCATCTAATTGCTTGTAGTGCCGCGACTATTACTCTATACAAGCTCAACATTTCTGTAAAAGTCTGACATGCACCTGGACGATATAAGTTTAAGGTTTTTCAATTCTCAAGTATACAAAATAGTTAAGAAATATTAATTTGATAATAGAACAAAATTGAAAATGATAAAATTTAAGTTGATAGATCTATCATTAGTCACATAACTCATTAAATATTAATAGTTTTGTCAGAAAGAAAAAACTATCTAATAATTAATGACTATTTTATTATTTGATTTTTATTGGACAAACTGTTATTCACTTAGTTCTGTATTATAAATGTTAAATTATTTTGCAAAGTAAATCTTAATTTAAAATTGTACTTCTATAACTCAATGAAGTTAACATGCACACAAACATTTTCTTTCTGCACCCAGTCAAGAAAATGTTTTTATATTTAATAGAAAGGATTTAGATTATTTGTTTATTTAATCTGTTATAATTAGGCATTATTAGTAAACATAAAATTTTCATTATCCCAAAGCTCAAGCTTATATAGTATACTACACTGTATACAATTATAGTCATTATTAATACGAAAAGTATAATAAATAATAAAGCTTCGTCATTCTTCTATTGTGTAAGAAGTAAAATAAGTATATTATTGTAACAGAATATTTTTTCAAACATTAAAATTATAAAGAGTATTCGAATTTAAACTATTGAGAATTTGAAATTTTTATTAAGTTTAAAATAGTGGTTCATACTTAAGAAATTTATAAATAAGGGTTCTTATCACTGAAAGACAAAAAAAAAAATATTTAATTAGAAATTATTGTAGTTTTTTAAGCCAAATATTTTTTCTCTTTACAAAATTTTTAAATTCTCAATATCTCCTGAGAAAATGAGCGTCTTACCAGATTTTGATCACTTTGTATATGTTATATTTGTTCGACGATTTTTATCATCGTATCACTCGAATAAATATACAGTCTAGAATGAATTTTAGAGTTCATAACTGAATTTATAAAAGTCAAAAATAATAGTAATAGAATATTATACTAAGTTTCATCAAAATCGACAAAAAGATTTGATAGTAATATTTTATCCTTTATAGTAGTGTCATTATTAGATGTATATTAATCTTAAAATTGTTTAAGTGATACAGTGTATAAGTATAGTAAAATTTTATAGGATTGATATTTAAATTTTTTTCACTACTGTTAACCCATTTACGGTTGTGCATACATTTTGTATAGATGTAAATTTTATAAAGTTATTTGAATAAAAAAAAAAAAAAGGATTGATATTTAGCATGATATATTAAATGAAGCATTTTATTATAATAACAAGATCAAATAAAATTTGATAGATTTGCATATTATTTGTTCTGGTAAACCATATGATTACTTTGTAAAATAGAAAGTATTATATTGCTTCACAAAAAGCATAATTACTCACGTTAAAATTGAATAACAATACAAATCCGCAAACAGTGCTGTTGGAATTTCTGAAATCCTATTAATTAATGCCAGTAGCGTGCTGAGTGGATTAAACTTATCATTATAATAATGTATGTGACAACAAGAACTGTTCAAAAATTAAAAAGGATGTTTTATATGAAATTCTCGGTTAATATTTTAATCTAGATTTAAGCGAATCTTTAATATATTTTGCTTTCTCTGGCACGTCGTGGAGCTTCGTATATTTAAATAATAAATAAATGTTGAATCAGTTTGTTTTTCAACATTGTGGAGATTAATATGCTTCAATTACGTATGCGTACACGCATTTAAGGAAACAAGCTACATTAAAAAAAAAAAAAAAAAAACACACACAATATGCATATAACAACATAGTATGTTGTTACATTATATAACATAAACAACGAACAAATAGGATTTTCGGAAGTTTTATTTAAATATACTTTATATGGTTAGAACTATTAAATGTTAAATGTGTTTAAAATACAAGTATTCAAAATTAACCAGTATAAAAATTTTTAGTTATTTAAAAATTAAATTTAAAAAAAAATGTTTTAATAAAATAAAAAATCATATCTAATTCAAATATTCTATTAACATATCTAAGTTAATACCTAATTATAAAAATATGATTATCAACTTACAATGATTTAATTTAAGAGATTACATTACACAAAATAATAATTCGCACAACTCATTAATAAACAACGTTTTATATAATCCCATTCATTATAGAGTATATTAAAAACTATTTCTGTCGTTCAATAATAAACGATTTTTAATATTCCCCAACGAAGTATTTTAAAAACAATAACAGTTAACTATAATACATATTATTTTATCATTATGATCACCAAAGTCTCTACCGCAACTATTTTCTATGTCTTAACTATTCAGCAAAGTTTTACACCGGCTGTCAACCTAACGCAACCTTGTTATGACTGAAGAAACCAGTAAGGATGTGTGTGTGTCACTGTTGAACCCAAACGTATGTGTCACCCCCATTTGGGGAACTAACAGCATACAGCGTACCTTAACATCAGTGCTAAGGCGGCGCCTGAATGATCCACTGCGCCGCACTACTCTATATATTATTTAATAAGTATCAAAATAATAGAGAAACCCCAATGAAAATATTAATAAAAGAACTATAATCTTATAACTTTAGAATAGTACAGTTTTAATTAAACTATATTTCCTAAAAGAAAATATGAGCAGCTATAATAAAACAACCGCTTTACAAAGAATTGAGAAAATCGTATATTATACACAGAAAATAGTACTTTCAATTTATTATATTATAAAATATAGAGTTATAAGAACGTGCTTATTTATTTATATGATTTTTAATCGTACATCCAATAATATTTTAAGAGGGTCAATATAGATGATCGCCTCTTGCTGTTTATATATATATATAATTTTTTTTTTATGTAGCTGATAATAATAAAATGTATCTCTAAATATCTTTTTTTGTAATCTATATGTTTTTTAGAAAATTTTTAGCAAAAAATTTGCTCTAACATAATTTTATAATAAAAAAAATTAAGTCGTCCTCTTAAAATAAGTCATAAAAACCCCTGCTTACAACAGTTCAAAAATGACTACAAGAGCTATCCTAAATAAAATAAAGTAAAAAAGTACCCTCCTCCTATATTAATATTTTTAGTATGAAGTATATTTATATAAAAAAATACCATACAAAATAAAGGCCATACGATTTTTAAAAAAGAAGGGGCAATTAAATTTATATTGTCACCACCTTTTTTTTATTTACTTTCAGGGCGTTTCTCGAAGTATATAATTAATAGGCATAATTAATTAAAACTTACGTCACTTAAACATTAATTCTTTGTATAACATTCAACAATTACATTAGGTCATACTATTTTTAAATTATATATTCAACTAACATTTTTTAACATTATTTTTTTTAGATTTATCCAGTATCATACAAAATGACCAATCAAATTTTACTAATAAACATCGTAGTACTATTAATCACTACAGTTATGTCCCTACTTCCATCAATAAATGGAAATGTAATAGACCAAAGAGCATTACAAAAAGAATTGAGAGAAAGAAATCCTGAAATAATTTCACTGGATGATAAGATGGACTACCGCGATTTCGACGAACCAAACGTTAATGACTATGTATTAAAACCTAAGGTAATTAATATATTTTGTTATTACTCGTTATAAAACCACATTAAAATTACTAAATAATCATAAAAAATATATTAAAAGTACGCTCAAAAGCATTTTAAACATTTTAGTACATGTTTGCCACATTGTTCTCATTTTAGAAAAAGAGCTCTGTACTCTGAAACTCCGCTAAATTTGAAGACCTTTTTTATAATTCAAATTATTAAACATGTGATGAAAAAATTAGTTAAGAACATTGACCTAACTAGAAAGAGCTAAAAGACAGACAAAAAATTAAACCTCTAAAATATAGATAACTATATTTATTGTAGCATAAAAAAAATTAAGTATGAGCAAAAATACCCAAAAAAATTTCATTCTAATTTCGCCTATAGGTTAGGGCTAAGCTCCCTTGAAAGGTTGTTTTAAACTAAAGATCACTTTCTTAAGAAATGTATGGAGCTATTTTTTTTTGAAAGTTGATCTAAGTCCACAAATGATTTCATTATTAATTAAATTTTAATGTCGAATAAGACGTTTGGGTAATAAGTCCGGATTTTTCTTTTAAATTTTTAATATTCTTGTTGATTTAATATTTTCAAAATGCATAACTGCCGAAATAAGGAAAAGTCTTTCATATTACTAAAGGTAAAATAATTTTTATGGAACAAAAAATATTTTTATTTTTATTAAACCCTATGATTTCTGGTAATATTACTGACAAGAAAATTATTATTAGAACTGATTCATTAAAATATTAGTTGACATAAAATAAATTCATTGATATTTGAATTCATAAATATATTGTTACAGCTAATTAAATTTCATAAATATGTTGATGCATTGCTGTTAAATAAAATTATAAAATTACTACGCAGTATTCAATAATATAGAGTTACAAAATAATGTGAACAACAAAAGAATAGTCATTATTTTTATGGTTATGAATTACAATCAAATTAAAATAATAATAATTTATTATTATAAGGCACGTCAAAGAAATATTTGATGTTTGTTACAATTTTTGTTTTTACATGAAAATTGATAAATTTGTTATTCAATAAGTTACTTAAAATATGTTATGAAATACTTTAAGTAATTTGATATTATGATTCAATATTAAAAAAAAAAAAAGCGATGTATTACTGGTAATTTATGATAAAAATATGCTATGAAAAGTATTACGTCAATGAACAACTTGATCCAGTTTTAAACATAAAAAACAGATGTAAGACACTAGATAATTATTGTGACACAAATTTTTGCACTTAAAATATTTATTATACTAAATTATAATGTGTCATTCATATAGACATATTTTTAACAGAATATTGTTATTTTAATTACAATAGCATTTACCATAGTAATATGATAACTTTTATTAAAAATCAAATGTTCAAAAAAATCCAGTAAAACTAAAAATTTTCTTTAAAAAAAAATATTTTTCTAATAATTGGATAATTGAACAACTCCTAATAAATAAACACTCTTGGTATTACTTAAAATATTATATCTTAAGCATCCAAGTCGAGTAATATTGTTAATTTGTAGTGTTAATGATAACATTTAAAATACTTTTTTTTACATTAAATATGCTTAGAACAATTTAAATTCAGTTAAATACAAGGCTTTCTCAGTTTTATTAACTTAGATTCTATATAGTAGAGTAAATGAAATTATTAACTTTCCAGATAATAGAAGTTAATTTTTAATAATATATCTATTATATAATTTCGAAGTTCATTAAATTCTTAAACTACCTTATGAAGTAAAAAGTCAACAATATATTCTAAGTATGCCGAACACTAATTACTAATAGGTTTAGAGTGTGTAACAACCCCCACATCATCTTATGGAGGAATTAGGCCGTGGTAAAACATTTTTATTAAATTTAATTTATTTTAAAGTCAGTTCACTAACTTTGCTATTAAATATTATATTATAAATAATACAGCACAATTTTTTATCGTACATATATTGTAAGAATGTATTAGATTTCATTTTTTTATATTGAGAACAATACTTAAAAATTTGTTGGGGATTGTCACCTTCTCGATCTAACCATTAAATACGGTTCTGACTGCGGGTCAAAATATTAATAAAATTTTTGTAACAGTGAAATATTTATTCCATTCATTTCCTATATAAAATTTTTCAGTTAATCAGAGCACGAAGTCTTGAGTACAATTTTCTCCCTTATACAGGGTGATTTTTTTATCATAACCCACTCAATTACTTGCAGAATAATAATAATTTAAACATTTTTTTTTTCATTATCTTTAGTTACACATTATTCTTGAATTTTTAACTATGTAATACTTTTTAAGTTCATCCCTTATGCCTTGGAAGGGGGTCAACTTTGTTTTTTTAAATGGTAACACATATTTTTAATTTAATAAAATGTTTGAGTTTTTAATCCAATAGTAAATGGCATTTGAATTTTTAATATAATTTTATTAGCTTATTAGATATAAACATTTAAAGTTTCAAAATTTTGAGTTAATATACATGTATAATACACATGGGATTGTAAATACAGGTAGCTAATTGGATTTTTATGACATTGCTGTCTCAGTCACGGATTGTTTATTATCAATTATGATTATCAATAGATATGCTTCTGTATTGTCTGTTAGTGTATTTATAAACTAATAACAATGTGCCTTACTACAATTGATAATAACAATGCTGTGTACCTGCTAATATCGATGTTATAAAAAACCAATTAGCTACCTATATTTGTAATCCCTTCTGTATTATACCTGTATATTAATTCAAAAATTTGAAACTTTAAATGATTATATCTAATAAGCTAATAAAGTTATATTAAAAATTCAAATGCCATTTACTATTAAATTAAAAACTCAAACATTTTATTAAATTAAAAATATGTGTTACCATTTAAAAAAACAAAGTTGACCCCCCTCCAAGGCATAAGGGATGAACTTAAAAAGTATTACATAGTTAAAAATTCGAGAATAATGTGTAACTAAAGATAATAATAAAAAAAAATGTTTAAATTATTATTATTCTGCAAGTAATTGAGTGGGTTATGATAAAAAAATCACCCTGTATATATTTGTCGTAAACTTGTTGCCCTTATGATATTGTTTCAATATTCCAATAACTTGTGAATTGTGTTTCAGGATGATGAACAAAGTTTAGAAAACGCATTAATCAAATATTTGATTACTAGGCAGATAGAAAATCTACGTGCTCGAAGAACAGATATGATCAGAGCCCAAAAAAAAAAAAGCTATTGGAAACAATGCGCTTTCAACGCGGTATCATGTTTTGGTTAAACACTAAATAAGTTGTAATATGCTGATAAATACCTTAATAATGTCTCAAATCAATGATTATACATCACAGCTTTGATCCTAAATGCTATCGGTTATTGTGTACTCTGTTTATCATTTTTTTTTTTTTTCTGAAGTGGCATTGTACCACGAAAGCATATTCATAATTTGATATTTTACTCATAGATTTTGTATCAATATGATAACATAAGATTTGTGTAATATCATTTTGGGATTAAAAATCACTAAAATTTACTGAGTATTTAATAATCACTCATATCGCTCAAATAATTTTGTGAATTAATAAGATTTAATACCTTTCCTATAATATATTTTCACACGCCACTTATTTTTGACATATTTACTTAATGTTGTTTAGCTTTTGTGTACCTATTCGAAGTAACTAATAGCAAAAAATGATTTTAGATTGATTAACTTATAAATAAAATAAATAAGTGTTAAATATTTTACAATTAAATAAATAGAAGTTTTGGTTCGTTATAAATATTAAATCATTACTTGTATTTTTTGCCGGAAAAATTATTATACCGAAAGTAATTGGTAAATACTGAATACTTAATATTTACACAGCAAAAATGGAATAAATCGTAATACTTTCAAATGTACTTACAAAACGCATATTGCTATCTCTACAAATTCGTTTAAGTTCTCGACAAACATCGAAATACAATTGGTTTCTATTATATTTAGTCGATTTAATACATTCAGTTATTTTATTTCGTGTTGGTCAAACACTATGATGGATTTAGTCATTGAAAAAATATACAACTTTATCTTGTTAAAAATCCTTTTATTTGAACATAATTTAAATAATTTTATAATTTACAAAATTCGTATTATAAACTTAATTATCAACGAGGGCAGTTATTCTTTGAAGTGCTAAATGACATAGTAGTTTTTATATAACAAAGCAATCCAACACAATGAGGACACAGTATAATTAGAACAAATATAGACGATATCGGACAGTGACTAAAAACACTATCATTAAAAACGCTTCGGTGCAAAACTGTAGTGTTCAATCACAAAAAGTAATCGTTGGGTTTTACTCCAAAATTTTACGATTTCTTCTTGTGATGTGTTGACAACATCAACTCTTATTTTCTTAATCATAATTTGATTACAAGTTTTATTACTTTAAAGTATAATACAGAAATAAATACATATTAAAGAAATTAAACTTGGAATGAAATTGATATTCAATATTTTAGTATTGTAATTTTTACGGAGAAATTATAAAAATTTATAAAGTAGTCATATATTTCGTTACCTCTATGGCAAACGTTTATCAAAAATTGAAGTTTGGATTTATCAAAAAAAGAAAAAAATTAGTTTGTTGTGAACTGGGTGTCTATGTTCGATCACGCGATTAAATTACAATTTAAGTATACTTTAAACTTACAGTATGTAACATAAGTTTTTAATTTTACATACGTATATGTAGAACGTTTTTAAAAAAGTTAAATTGAAATGGTTAATTTTTCATGTAAAAGTTGCTATTTTGAATCTCCTGCTGTAGGTAGGGTTAGATTTACAAAAAATGTAACTGATAAAAATGAAATACTTAGTCTTTATAAAAATAATTTTTTTTGTTATGGCAGTTTTAAGGGAAAAAAAAAGTTTAAAAAATGTCTAAATTAATCCATTTTAAAAATCGTATTTTTTTGCGAAATTTCACCCATTTACAGGGAACATGAGAATTTATTTTCAATGGTTAAAACTAATGTCTTCAATTAAATACAATTTATAATCTTTTAACGTATCGTTAAAAAAATGGTCCAGTGAGACCTGAGAAAAAGTATTGACAGACATAAAAAATACATAAACACATCATGGTAAAAGCAACACATTCTTATTTTTGCATTGAAGACAAAAAAATGTTTGTAATACACATTTATTTAAATTCGGGACAATTCTACTGGTTTATATTAAAAGTTTTCATAAAAAAATATGTAGTAATAGAACAATCACGTTCTATTTTTCAAAATTGAATTGCTGATAATTGACTTAATGAATCAAAGGTCATCTCTTATATGAAGAATTTTTTATAATGCTTGAAAATAAAATATATTTTATTATTAATCCTCAGTAGTATACTGGTAAGTATATTACCCTGGTCTTCCTGTCAAGCAGGACAACGGATTTCGATCGCCGCCGGGGAGCCAGTCGATATGGTGATGATCGAAATTGTAGCACAAAGACAAAAGAACAGTAAATCAGTAACTATTGTAGAATCGTTTGTTATTTGAATAAAGTATTAGTTTCGCAAAAAAATACAGAATATAAATAACCAACAAAAGAAAAGATTCGCGTTAGCTGAACGATCACATTAGTTGGCGTACTTTTTCAGACGTATCGATTGCACCGTGTAAAAAAAAAACTAACCGAAGATGTGGACAGTAAAGTATTATAGCAGTGACTTTAACTTATATTTGCGGTTGGTCTCTGTTAGACGTGCGGCGTTTGCTGGACTTTGTACAGTGATGTATGGCACACAGCGTTAGACAGTCCAACTACCATATACACGTAGTAGGGCGACAGCTGATAAAGGTGGCACAGGTCGTGGGGCTCCGTGAACGCGAAGCGACGCAGGACCATGTCAATTACTACAATAAAATATCACAAATTAAAAGTTTATAACGATGTTTGTCATTTTATTTTTAATGTTATAAAATTGGTATCAGTGTCATGCCTAAAATGTTTTATTTGAAACAACCCAAACCAAACGCTCAATGGTCAATTTAGCATTTTGATACAATACTGGTTGGTGAATAATTAAGGTTATTTAATTTGAAGATTTTGAGTGATGTGGTTATCTCATAAATACGACGATATTATCTCTATAAAAAGATCAAAATATGGATTTTTGTAGATTTTTTAAACTATGCCCTCATTAAAAATAATCTTAGCTACTCCTTTTAAGTGGAAGATTTAGTATATTTATTTCATTATATAAAAATATAAATTACTTTGTTCAATGATACAATCTAAAAAGTAATTACGTATAAAATATTTATTAATTATTATTTGAGTATTATCTTTTTGTTAAAATAGTTTAGCATAGCCCGCATAATAGATAATGTGATAAATATATTACAAATAAATTTGATCAGTAATTTAATATGTTAATACATTTAAAATAAATAAATGAAATCTTAAAATAAAAAATAATGGTACCTACTTCAGTTACTTTCAATTAATGAAATTCTTTAGGATAACACTAAAAGTTTTTTTTACAATCATATTAACTGTTTAAAAAGCGAAAATTACTTTTAAAAAAGTTTAATTTGTTGTCAATTATTTTTGTAAACTATACACCAAACCTATTATTTTATCTGTAATGATTCCCAGAGAAAATTTTGTCAACAGCGTTTAATAATACATAGTATTGCATTATATTATACAACTGATAAAATAAAATTATTATATAATTAATCTCAATATTAGAGACATATAAAATACTTAATTTTTTCGAACCTTTAATGTCAAAAAGAAAAGTTGTACTCCTTGAAGTACAATTTTTCTCAACAAGCGTCTATTATGCGTTTATTCAGGGGTAAAAATCGAGTCTTTCCAAAATTCAAGCAATGGTATAAAATTTTACCAACAAAAATAAATTGTAAAAAAAAAATTTTTTTTAACCTGTCAGAAAAAAATACATAAAAGGTACCTAAACAATCTAATTTTTTAAGTATATACAATTTTAATCGACTTTAAAAAGAAGGTTATCAATTGATTGTATTTTTTCTGTTTGTTACCTCAAAACACCGTTATTTTAAATCTGTTTGGGATTTTTTTTTTGTTTGAAAGGATTTGCATTCAGATTGTTTCATAAAAGTTACATCAAAATTGGTTCAGTGGTTTGGTTTTTAAAACAAAATAATTGGAAAAATATGTCGAAATAAATATAAACGATATTACGATTTTACTTTATTGATACATATCAGTGATGTCTGGAATAGGCCAATTGAACCTTCTGCCTTCAAATTAAAATATAATTTGATAATTAATAAAATGCACTGAAAAGTAAACAATAAATTAGAATAAAAACAATTTATTAAGATTATAATAGAAAAATTATAGATATTTTTTGAATTGATGACAGCAAAAATGAATAAACGCTATCAATATGTTTCGTGATAGGACAGCAGACGCCTGGTGTTGAACAGCACGGGGCTCAGTGGCGGTCATAAACAGGAATAGAGAGAAGGGAATATGCTTAAGTAAGCGATCCGAAAACAGGTAGACATCTATGATTGTCTATATCTCCGATACCCAAATTTTCCAATTTATAAATAAATCGCTGCGTCAAGTATTGTTCAACAACACGTAATGGGATAGTTTTGGTTTTGTTCTGAGAGGGATATGAATTAGAAAATTTTTCACTACCCGTCAAAACTAAAAAAATTGTATCATCACAATGTAAATGATTTTATTTTGATGGGATGTATCCTAATCGTCACCCCTTTCTTTATAACTACACAACTAACCCTGCGCGTATATTGTTTTATTGTAAAATTAAATGAATACCTATTTAAATGTATTACCTACTAGTACTTATCTACTCCGTTAGTACACGTTTATTAACTTGGGCTAGGACCGACTCCAAAAATAATAACTATCATAGAAATTATAATTATCATTATTATTAGGATAATATGATTTTTTTGTAATTCTATACTGATTTATTTTATTCTTTATAGTGCATTTTTTCAAAGCAGATTTTCGTTATGTAAAATATTTTTTTTATTATTAAAAAATTTGTATATTTTTTTAATCTCTTTTATTTATGTGTAATTTTAAGCACATCATGAAGGATTATAAAAATAATTATAATATTTCGAAAAATTGTATGTACTTACTGAAAAGGAAATTCTAATTTACAATAAGAAATTGTCAAGATAATGCATCTTCAAATAAATAAGAGAAATCGATGAAGACTTTTAATATATAGTAAACTGAGGCAAGAGTCTAATATTAAAATAAATTATTTTATTCTATAATTATGAATCAATAGTTACTAATTAAACGAGCTAAAATTGAATACATTGTGTAGATCATTAAAAGTTCTCATAATCTTACAATGAACTATTCACTGAACCAATATTTTACAAAATAAAATACAAACAAATATACTGTTTCATAACTTTTAAAATTTTACTCCATCAAACAAAAGAACTGAATAATTAAAAAAATAATAATACTAATATAATACAAAAAGATGAACAAAAAATTTCATACACGATCTTAGGCATGATCACTTTGTAATATTGGAAAAACAATCAATTTTTAACACGCTTATATTAGTTTCATATGTATGTGAGTTGTTTGTAACTCTTCACTCGTCACGTGTTATTATTCTCGCGTATCTCGTCTTCTATGGCCTTGAGACTAGACTGTCGTAACGCATACACCCCATCCCGCTCTCCAAACGTCGACAACACTGTTTACCTGTATACTTTTTGGTTTTCGCACCCGAACAGGCGGGCGTATCATCAGTATTATATATATAAACAAATTTTCATTGTTTATTATGAGATATAAACATTTAAAGATTCAAATTTTTTTGAGTTAATATACATATATTACATTGTATAATACATATGGATTACAAATACAGGTAGCTAATTGGTTTTTTATGACGATATTAGCAAGCATATAGCCTTTATTATCAATGGTAACAAGACACATTGTTGTGTGTTTATAAACACACTAACTGGCAATACAGAAATTATATCCATTGCTAGTGGTAATTGACAGTAAACACTCCATGACTGCAACAGCGATGTCATAAAAAACTAAAAAGTAAAAGATAATTTAAAAAATAAGCTTAAAACAATAACGAACAAAAAAATACTAGTATTATTGTTTTAAGCTTATTTTTAAAATTATTTTTAACTTTTTAGTTCGATATGCTTTAAAAGCGTGTTTTTCAGTTTTTTTTAACTATATTATAAAACTGTGTGACCATAAAAAAATTTAACACGTATATTATATTACACACTTCAAGAATACTATTTTCTGTTTAGAAAACAATTTTATAAAACTTAAAATTTTTTTGGTTGGATTTGTTACATTTTTAATTATCAATATTGAATAATAACTGAAAAATAATTTTTTTGGCAAGAAATTTAAAGAAAAAATGTTAATTGGGTTCGACACAGTTTTAAAAAACCCAGCACAAGGGGGTCAAGGTACAGTGGTGATGTGGCATAGTTGGATCAAGTATAATGATATCTGACAGTGATTAAAATCACTATAAAAAAAAAACGCTTCGATGCAAATCTTTAGAAAGTGTTTAATTTTAAAAAATTGGTGGATTATTCCAAAAGCTTCATAAACTGCTAGTTCCTTATTAATATCCTGATTAAGATAAAGTATGTCGAATAAAAAAGGAATTATTAAAAAATAGTATTTCCCATAAAAAAATTATATTGATCAATACACTTTTCAATAAGTTATAGCATTATAAAGTTAAAAATGTAAAAAATAAAAATGAGAATATTCACACAATAATAGCATTTGGTAGCCATTTTCACCTTGAAGATAAAATAAAGTCCGAAATTTTTTTTTTCCATGATAAAGTATATTACATTAGCTTTAATTTAAGATATATATAAAAGTGTCAGACTTTCCGGAACACTTTCAAAATTTAAGTTGAAAAAGTCAATTTTTTGTGAAAAAGTTGTCATTTTGAATCCCCCCCTGTAGGCAGGTAAAAAGTCAGATTTATAAAAAAAATATACCAAATGATAGGTAAAGACATCATGCATCTACAAAAAAAAGAATTATATTGATCCATACATCTTTCGAGAAGTTATAGCATTATAAAGTTAAAAATATAAAAAAGAATTTTTTTACAAAAATCGTATTTTTTTTATTAAGTTTAATGTCTGTTTTCACCATGAAGATAAAATAAAGTCCGAAATTTTTTTTTACCATTATAAAGTATATTACATTAGCTTTAATTTAAGATATATATAAAAGTGTCAGACCTTCCGGAACACTTTCAAAAGTTACGTTGAAAAAGTTCTACTTTCTATATGCATTTTTATGTTTTGAATCCCCCCTGTATTTAGGGAAATGGTCCGATTTAAAAAAACAGTATGTCGAATGAAAGATCTATATAAATACTACTTCTCATAAAAAAATTGTAATGATTCATACATTTTTCAAAAAGTTATAGCATAATAAAGTTAAAAATGGAAAATACAAAATCGAAAATTTTCACACAAAAATAGCATTCGGTAGCCATTTTCACCATGAAGATAAGATAAAGTCCGAAATTTTTTTTTTTCATGATAAAGCATATTACATTAGCTTTAATTTAAGATATATATAAAAGTGTCAGACCTTCCGGAACATTTTCAAAATTTAAGTTAAAAAAATTAATTTTTTGTGAAAAAGTTGTCATTTTAAATCCCCTCTTGTGGGCAGATAATGGGTCAGATTTATAAAAAAAATATACCAAATGATAGGTAAAGACATCAAGCATCAAAAAAAAAAAATATTATATTGATCCATACATCTTTCGAGAAGTTATAGCATTATAAAGTTAAAAATATAAAAAAGAATTTTTTTACAAAAATCGTATTTTTTTTATTAAGTTTAATGTCTGTTTTCACCATGAAGATAAAATAAAGTCCGAAATTTTTTTTTACCATTATAAAGTATATTACATTAGCTTTAATTTAAGATATATATAAAAGTGTCAGACCTTCCGGAACACTTTCAAAAGTTACGTTGAAAAAGTTCTACTTTCTATATGCATTTTTATGTTTTGAATCCCCCCTGTATTTAGGGAAATGGTCCGATTTAAAAAAACAGTATGTCGAATGNAAAAAAAAAAAAAAAAAAAATAAACACATCTTAGTAAAACCAATACCTTCTCAGCTTCGCATCCAAGCTAAAAAGTATATCTCATAATTATTTTAAAATAAATTAATTTTATACATTATATCATTGAATTTAGATTATAAATCTAAAATTAATTTTTTTGTAATTGTTTTATTTATTAAAAAATATTGTTTTTGTAAAAAAAAATGTATTATTTAATGGAAAACTTTTTTTTTTTAGTTTTATTTTTTTAGCTTCGATGCGAAGCGGAGAAGGTATTAATTTTACTATGATGTGTTTTTTTTTTTTTTTTT